AGTTGAACTACCAAGATTACTTATCTTTCCCCATATATCGATCCACTTAGTTCTTTCTCCCACACCTCTGTCAAATATTTTAATTCCGTTCCTCATTCAATAAAAACCTTTCCCTCTCTGTCCTCTTTTCGTTTCCGCTGCGTCGCATTTTATCGCATTACTCACAGTATTTAAACGAGACTGATGTAATTGGTGTGTTTACGGGTTTATGCGCCTATGTGTGTGCGTGTGCGTGTGCGTGTGTGTGTATTCTCAGTTATTGGTTTATCTCTTATTGCATTGTTGTCTTATTCTGGTTTTGTTACTGGTAGGCTTTGTAACAGCAATTTTGCTGACGCCTAGCCATTTGTAAGCTACTATTGTCTATTGTATTTATGTTTATGTATTAACTATAATCTATTGTATCATATTTTATGTCTATTAATCTGTTAACACGTAATCTTTTTTATATAGCTTTGCAATAAATTAAATTAAATTAAATATTTACTTAATTTTGAAAATCGAAGAGCAGTATAAAATATCTTTCGAATAATTATTATTAGCGGAAGTGTATATCCATGGCCATCGCCATTTATTGTTAGTCATTGTACTACATTTTGATTTTGATATCTATTCTGACACAGGAATTCTGACAGGAATTTTTTAGATAGATGTAGAAACTGAATACTAAAACAATAATACAGCGTCAAAATTATCAAATGTTCCAAAAAAGTATATCTGAGTAAAAAAAACTTTCAGGGCCGAAGTAAAATGAAACTTTTTACTGAGTTCTTAATTCACAGTTTTTACATATGTGAGTGAAAAATATTTCGGTCAAGGCGGTTTTTCGTGCCTAATAATATTTCTTATAAATTTATATTTAGATATACGTTATACATTTCCAGTTCAAGCTAACTGCGCGCCGACAAATTTGTCGGTCTTGACACACAGTCCTAAACCGAATTCGGAGTAATAACACTATCACAATTAAATTGATAAGCAATTTTAATAATATTGGTATTTATAGGCATCTTAAGATCTTAATAATTTGATTATTAAGCGAGGTAACATTTTTTATAATAAAATTACCTTGACCAGGAATCGAACCTGCATCTCTCGTATTCCGTGCAAGCACACTGAGAGACAAGTATATCATATTTGTGACTATAATTGCATAGTAAAATAATTATAGTCAGAAGCATCATTTTTGTAGTTAATATTGCTATAATGTTTTAGTATAACAATAACTTTATATGTATAGTTCTATCAACTCGTACAAAAATTGTACTATAAATTGTGATAATTTCAAATATTAATATAATAAAATATGAAAATATTTATGATAAATAAAATAACCATTTTTATGTGATAATTGCAATCATAATTATAATGAACATAACCATTTTTTCTCTCAACATTCGCTTACTATTTACATGTGATAACAATATATAACTAAAAAATATATTTAAAAAAAATGGAAAAGCAGTCATTTTCAAATAGTGTGTGTAACTATATTAATAGCATATTTGATTGTACTTCTAACTACAAATTTAATTGGTCAAATTTACTATACGTATTATAAAAATTACAAAGGAAATAATTGTAAAAATAATTATTTGCATTAAATGTTTGACAATATTATACACGGAAAAAACAGATTTGGTTGAATTAACTGAAATTATGATGGAATCTATCAGAATTCTGGTTGAAATAATCAATTTCAAAATTTACCAAAATTCTAGTTGACATAACCAATTCCCAATCCAGAATTCTGTTTGAAATAACCAGAATCTAACCTCTTATTAATCTAAATTTAACCAAAAATCTAGTAAACTTAACTAGAATTCTGGATCGTTCATTTTCCACTACAATTTCAGTTAATTCAACGAAATATTTTTTTTGTGTAGTAATAGTATATTTGATTACATTGACATAAACAATAATTTAACATTTTCCTTAAAAAAAAAACTACAGGAATAAGAATTATATCACAGTCAAAGCTGGTCACACATGCTCAAAAATAAAGCACGCAACACTCAAATTGCAGCGAGACGAAACACATCCGCCATGGTCGGATCTCTCGAGACTGAGGACAATCGCTTTGTCATTATGATTTCCTAACTATGTTAATAAATACCAGCGTATTATTTCGTTTCCATGTAATCTCCTCAAATATTAATAATATTAAACTAGCAGCAGAGATAATGAAATTAAGAATGGTTACAGTAGGAAATATAAGTAACGTTGGCAATATCTCTCGATCACAAGTGTGCGATTAGCTCAGCATAAATGTACTAGATTACCGTTCTAGGAATCGTAGGTTTCAAATCTTATCTACGATGCGATGCGTTTTTTAATAATTAATTGTAGTTAATAAGATAAAATATAGCATGCAAAAAAACAGTAAATAGTGAATTGAAATGGAAAAATAAAAAGTAATAATAACAAAAAGATGTTTTTTTTGTTAAGATATAATCGTATACATTTTTTTTATTACATAAAAAGGATTGTTTGGTCACAATTACCAAATTATTTTGTTTAAAACAATTAATAATTTGGTTATATTTGTTATATGATTTCGTAATAATCATCTAACTTTGCTACCAATTTCCAAATCTTGGTAGTAATAGATGTATAATTCTTTATAATTATGTTTGTTGTTATAACATTTTATAGTATAATATAATTTACTATATGCAAATACAATTTATGTGTAAGATAACTATACAATGTAATTAAATGAATATTATGGTCGTTATGATCATAACGCAGTGTTCAGGTTACTATAATTCATATGGTCAAAACAATTATAAATTTATGGTTGTCGTAAAAAATGACTATAAATTATAGTTAAATTAAAGTTAAAATAAAGTCTATAATTTTTTCAAACACTTTGTAAGTGACTCATATAGACAATATTTAATAAATGTGTAAATGAATAAAATGTCTATTCATTGCCAAGCTTGGCAGACAGATTTTACGTGTGAAAACGACAGATTTAATGTTCGGCGATTTCTTCGCGAGTGTTAACAAGTCGCTAATGATGCTAATTTTGCTCTCACGACGACGACAAGTTTCGTGTACGTTCGTTGGTGACACACTTACTGCAGTTGGTTATTTGAATAAATTCAAGAGCTCCGATCATGAATATCTAACATCCTTTTCACTATTATCCTATTAATCTAAATGGTACGTATGTTGTGTCGTGTGGCGCATTGCTAGCTTCCTAATAACAGTCAGCTCTAATCAAAACTAAACTGCTAACGTTCAAGTCAATAAACACATCCGAATTTACATCATGGACTTGCGCGATTGTTAATTAAAACAATTGTTTCTATGTAAAGTTCCTATCTCTTATCTCTCTTTTTATAAAAAATATAAAAAATGTTTTTTATTTGTGTTAAAATCGATCCTTGTTAGAATTTTTGTGTTGAATTTTTAATACATTTAAGTATTAACATAATGTGATTGTATTATTTAAACATTTCATATTAAATAAATATTTGTTTAATAATCAATATTAAGGTTAAAATAACACAATTTAATAAATGAAAATAAATAATTAAATATAATGTATTTTTTTTTAAATGTAACTTTTAGATAAATGAATAAAATGTATTAATTTAACATATTATGTATAAATGTTAATTTTCCTTTAACATGTTATTATAAATGTTAATTTTACTGAAGAAATGTGTTTTTGAGAATTTGCTTACACATTGTGCCAATGTCGTACTTTCATGTTAATTTTTTACATAATATTTGTGTTACAATTTCCTAATATATTAATATAGTGTTAAATTTAATAATATAAAAATATGGATGGATCGTTTAAGATACGTGAAAAATGTATAAGTTTAACACAAATTTTACAATTATTTATGAGACTACTGTGTGATAATCATCTTAAAGATATTTTATAGAATAATATTTTATGACATTTATTTTTCTTTGCTAAGTATTTTGATCTTTATTAGGTATTGATCCAAATGTGCCAGATAATTTCAATATCTTATAAATATTTAGACGGGTAAAAAACATTAAGTATTTGTGTTGGAAACGATCCACTTACGTTCTTATTAATCACTTATGAATTTTAATATATTCTAATGTATATTTCTTAATTTAATATGATTATATGTTGTTTAAAGATTTTGTATTAAATTGATATTTAACATTATTTTTTGGTGTCAAAATGACATAATTTGTCAATAAGTGAGTAAATAACAAAAAAATGTGTTTTTAAACGTAAATTTTGAGATAAATGAATAAAATATGTGTTAATTTATCATAAATGTTAATTATACTAAAAAAATATATTTCTACAGTTTATTTACAAATTGTGTTAGCGTTATCTTTTTGTGATCATTTTTTTACAATATTTGTGCTTTTTCTAATATATTCATCTTATGTTAAATAAAAATTTGAGTGAACCGTTTGGGACGTATAAAATATATCATGTCCGACACAAATTTTTCAACAGTATATATTTGTTACTTTTTTATTTTACAATAACTTATTACAGCGTTTCGTTGCTTCCTATACAGTTGAAAAATTTTTATTAAATTTAACATATTTCACATGTCCCAAACGGTTGGGAATATTGAATATCATTTAACACAAAATATTCAAATAACACAATCACATTATGTTAAATTAACACTCGGATATACTAAAAATTCAACACAAAATTTTAACAAGGATTCGAGTGGATTGTTTCTTGTGGATTGGTAGAAATATACAACGTTTTTTACTGTATATTTGCGACTGATAATTATGCCGCTGTGGAATTATCGTTACGTTTTATAACATCAATTGCGTAGCCGCATTGATTGTCTGAATCATACCGTGCCGGCTTCTTTCGCCGGCACGGGGTCTAGCGGAGGGTCCAGAATCTTCCGTTATCTTCGATGGTCATCCGGTCGCCGGTGTAGTCAGTGCATGATCATTTACGAGACACTCGTTCGCGACTGATTTGTCTGCCCTGACGGGTGGGGGATTCACACGGAGGTACGGTACCGATATAAGCGGAACATGGGCCCAGCATCCGCAGTCAGCCAGTCAGTCATTCAGTCATTCGGTCATTCAGTGCTCGGTAAAATAGTGCCTGCCCGCCCGGTAGGTTCCTTTCACTTTTCGTGTGTTCACTTTCATGCTTCTCTGTCGGTCGCTGCGTTATCGTACCTCGAGGCTTCGCGCCCGCGATGTACGTAATCCGTTACGTAATCCGATTTATTACGCGAACGTGAGACAAATTGCCATTAAGAGCCTCTCGGTTGCAATAATTCGAAATTTTATCAGTTTCTTTGTCTTATCTCTTTCTCAGGTTTATTTTGTGATATATGACCTCGCGAGTTTCCGAAATTCGATGCCAGTACATGCAGCTAAATTGTTTGGAGCTCGATTCGATGTTTATTTTTTGTTTTGTTTTTAACTAAAAATTCCAAAACTTGAATTAATAAACGATCAGTTAAATTGTTAAAACTTGGATTGTAGTTATTATCGCAGTATCGATAACGCGAATCATTATTTTTATTGTACATATGGAACATCTGATATATTTTATCTGATAGATAAAATATAGGTGATTCAAATAATCTTCATGTCGATGGAGAATTTTTTCGGAAATTATAATTGTACATATTTGTACTTGCTAGGGAATCGAGGATACTAAATATAATGCATTGTTATCTGAAATGCAGAAACACTACAGTGCAAAACTACAGTGCAAAGCCATCGCATATCTGACAGAAATAGTCCGCGAGCATAACACGTTAATCCATAATGTCGATACCCGCTATGTAGATACGTTAATGTTAAATTCAATAATTACGTGGTCAATTACGTGGTTTATTGAGGTTTAATGATTGAATAAGGTGATAACTCAAATTAAGCTTTCGCAAGCTCTTAATTAGTTGTAACATTTTTAATGTAAATTTTGCGATGAATCATGGAAAAAAACAAGATAAAATAAAAGAATATATTCATATATTGTTGCAAATCTTTTTCGTAAACTTCTGTTCCTTTATCACTTCTGTATTAATATCAAATACAAAAATTATGAAATATGTAATTATGTAAAATTATATATTGTATTATAAAAATTATAATGTATAAGAACCATACTTTTCGAATTCTCCAAAGCAAATTTTGTTTCGAATTTTTTCGAGTGAATTAATATTTTATTTACAAATATTCTGTAATGTTTAAATTTGAAGTTTAAGACTTCTTAATTATCTCTTTAATACTATTTTATTAATAATATAAAAATGATAAAATATGTATTCATATGAAATTAGAAAATATTATAGAAACTACGATGTATAAGAGTGAATTATTACTTTCGAATTTTCGGAAGCAAATTTTATTTCGAATTTTGTCAAGTCGTGAGTTAATATTTTATTTTCAAGTATTATATTTTTTAAATTTACTTAAACCTTTCCTTTAGCTCTTTAATAATTTTATTAATATTATAAATTCTTTATTAATATTTAAAAAAATTATAATTTATCAAAATGAATCAATATTTTCAAATTTCTAGAAGACAATTTTATTTTAAGTCGGTGAGCTAATATTTCAAGTCTTTTGAATTTCTTAAATTGATGATGCGCTTAAACCTCTGTTCAGATTGTGTACCTTGTTCAAATCCTGTTTTGAAATTACGCTGTAAAGACTTTTCAACTTAGAACGTTTAATTCTGGGAAATGTGGGACTGTAACAAGGTGTTCGCTAT